TGGCCCCCCGCAAGGGGGAATGAATGTCTCCATCTCACAGGTGGGAAACTGAAGCTCAGAGATTAAATAGTTGCACATCTCAGTAAATACATTCTCAGTAAATGGATTCTTCCATTTGTTCAGATGAGACAGCTTAGAGATATTCCTGATTCTGCCTTCTCTCATGCCCCATCTCCAGTGCATTGACAGATGCTGTCGGTTCTACCATGTCGCAAATCCAGTCATTTCTCATCATCTCCCCTGTTACCACTCTGGTACAAGTCACTGTCACACCCTGCCTAATTATTGGCAAAGTCTCCTGAACTGTTTCATTCCTGTTACCTCAGTCTGTTCTTGACAGAGGAATCCGTGATTATTTTAAAACAAGATCGCATTAAGTCTCTCCTCTGCTCAGCATACACTGGTGGCTTCCCATTTTACTTAGAGCAAAAGCCAGATCCTTAAGTGATCCACAGGGCCCTGCGTGATCTGAGTTTACTTCTGCTCTATTGCATTGGCTTCGTTGCTGTCCCACAAACACACTGGGCGCATTCCTGTCGCAGTATCTTTGCACGTACTGTTTCCTGTGCACAAAAGGCTCTTCTTCCAGAGCCTCATTCCCTTCCCTCCTCAAATTTCATCTTACTGAAAGTTCTTTCCTGGCCACACTATATAAAACAGAAGCCTCTTACTCCAGCAGCCCCTTTCTCTCAATCCTGCTTTATTTCTCTCCATACGTAGCATTAATTTCCCCTAGACACTTTATTTCTTTGTTTCTTGTCTGTCTCTGTCTCCCGAGATGTAAGCGCCCCGAGAGTAGGGACTTTGCTCTATTCCCTGCCGAATCCCCGGTACCTGAATTACACGTGCGGTGTAGCAGGTGCTTAGCTTGTTGAATGAATAAATGAACGAGTGGACTGACGAATATGCTAATGGGAAATAGAGCTGGAACTTGAACTTTGACAGTTTAAAGCATTTTATTTTCTTCCAGAAAATATTTGGTTCAATACCCTGAGTATTTCCTAAGTGGCAGTTACTGGGGTAGGTGTTGTTAGTACTTTTCCGTTGCTTTTATTCAGCAGCGGCTATAA